TGGAATGTTCAATAGAAACAACAATATAATCAAACTGAGGCGTAAGTGACCTCAGAATCTTTTCTATGATTACCTGTTCAGAAAGTGCTTCTCCACAAGCCTTCATTTCATTAGTAATCAGAATCAATCTGGAAATGTATTCAGAAACTTTCTCACTGTTTTTCATGCTGAGATTTTCATATTGTTTTCGCAGGGACTGAAGTTTTACCTTCTTTACTGATACATCTCCACCATAACATCTGGTCAGAATATCCCATGCCCCTTTCGACGTCGTCGAATCAACAATCTTCTCAAACACATTTTCATCCACACACTGATGGATGAAAAACAGTGCTTTCTGATCCCTCTTCCTTGTAGCTTTTTCTTCTGATTTCTGTTCTACAGTAGCATCAGCTGCTGCTGGAACATAACCTTCAGAAACAAGGTCCAGAACATCCTGAGCACCAAACAGCACACGCATTTGAATCTTCCATCTGTTCCAGTTTTTGCCATCAAAAACTGGAAGTTTAGTGTTCAAACTACTGCCTCCATTCATCTTAAACCTTTGCACAGAAAAACTCAGATCTCACTCAGTGTTTCCCAAACCCACAGAATCAGTGTGATTCTGTTTCAGATTTTTGTTCAAGAATCAAAAATCAAACACACAGCTCACTATCACTCGTGTTTCCCAGAGTTTCAGAATCAAACCAAGTGCTCTAGATACCAATTTGTTAGTGCAAAGGTGATGAATTTGAGGAAGAAGATGAAAGGGAATAAATGCAATAAAAGGCTGACAACAAATGATTGGAATTGATTGATATAAATGTAATCCTAATACACCTATTTATACACAATAATAATGCCACATAGGCCCTAATTCTAAACTTATCTTTAACTAACAAAATACTAAATTACCCTCTAATAAACTCTCTCAGTCTATTGGTCTTCTTGTTCTTGATCTCTAAGCCAAATTCAAGTTGAAAGCCAATGTATCATTGTTGCTCTAATCCAACTTGTTAGTTAAGAGTGGAGCACAAACTCAGAACAGATTTGGGAGGTGGACAAAAGGGCGAGGCTGACGCAACTAAGCTCAAACATAGTTGTTGTTGTATGCTATAACTAGTTGATGATGATATTGTAGCATGCTATAGTTGTTGTTGCATGCTATAGTTGTTGATGATGATACTACATAAAGATTGGTCTTTGCTCGTTAACCATTATCATGTATTTAAATGCATACTTGAAACTGAAATGAAAGTGGAGAACAAAGTGAAGGATGTGCATTGTTGTGTTTATATATTGCATGAAGTAGTCCCACATCGAAAAGTTAAAAAATTATATATAAATTAAATTAATGTTTTGTAAAAGTTAAATTAAGGATGAGTCCATCCTTAGACAAAGAGTTAAAATTCAATGGCTTAAAGATGGAGATGGCTGTAATGTTTGTTTTCATGCTTCTATCAAAGTCAAGGAATCAAGGATATTGCTACCCCTGAATTTAGATGGCTATTCTGCTAAATTCTTCAAAATTAGTTGGAGTATTGTGAAAGATGATGTTAGATTATGTTTAGTCTCAATAAGACTCTGATGGCTTCTAAGCATCATATCCCTTTAGCTAGGGAAAAACTGCATATAAGATTTGCTGAAGTGGAATGATATTGATGAGTTCATCCTTAGACAAAGAGCTAAAATTCAATGGCTTAAAGATGGAGATGGTTGTAATGCTTTTTGGATGCTTCTATCAAAGCCAAGCAAAATACCAAGGCTCTAACTATATTGCAGAAAGATGATGGATCCTATATTACTTCCCATAAGCAAATTGAAGAAGAAATCCTTAAGTTCTATGACTCTCTCATGGGTAAAAATGATGATAATCTGGACTGTAATGATATCAGGGTAATGAGGAATGGCGCTCAACTTCAGAATGCACATAAAGACTTTCTGGTGGCCCCTATCTCTGATGATGAAATCTATGATGCTCTTAAAGGAATCAAGGATATTGCCGCCCCTGGTTTAGATGGTTATTCTGCTAAATTCTTCAAAGCTAGCTGGAGTATTGTGAAAGATGATGTTAGATTATGTTCGGTCTCAATAATAATTTGATGGCTTCTAAGCATCGTATCCCTTTAGCTAGGGATAATCTTTCCAAAGCTCAGGCTGAGTTAGCAGCTGACTTAATGAATAATGATAAGATTCTGCTTGTTAAAAATTGCACAGGAGATTTGCTGAAGTGGAATGATATCGATGAGACCATCCTTAGACAAAGAGCTAAAATTCAATGGCTTAAAGATGGGGATGGTTGTAATGCTTTTTTTCATGCTTCTATCAAAGCCAAGCAAAATACCACGGCTCTAACTATGTTGCATAAAGATGATGGATCCTATATTACTTCTCATAAGCAAATTGAAGAGGAAATCCTTAAGTTCTATGGTTCTCTCATGGGTAAATGTGATGTTAATCTGGACTGTATTGATATCAGGGTAATGAGGAATAGCTCTCAGCTTCAGAATGCACATAGAGACTTTCTAGTGGCCCCTATCTCTGATGATGAAATCTATGATGCTCTTAAAAGAATCAAGGATATTGATGCCCCTGGTTTAGATAGCTATTCGGCTAAATTCTTCAAAGCTATCTGGAGTATTGTGAAAGATTATGTTAGATTCTGCTTAGTCTCAATAAGACTCTGATGGCTTCTAAGCATCATATCCCTTTAGCTAGGGATAAATTTTCCAAAGCTCAGGCTGAGTTAGCAGCTGACTTAATGAATAATAATAAGATTCTGCTTGTTAAAAATTGCACAGAAGATTTGCTGAAGTGGAATGATATTGATGAGTCCATCCTTAGACAAAGAGCTAAAATTCAATGGCTTAAAGATGGGGATGGCTGTAATGCTTTTTTTTCATGCTTCTATCAAAGCCAAGCAAAATACCAAGGCTTTAACTATGTTGCAGAAAGATGATGAATCCTATATTACTTCCTAGAAGAAAATTGAAGAGGAAATCCTTAAGTTCTATGGCTCTCTCATGGGTAAAAATGATGATAATCTGGACTGTATTGATATCAGGGTAATGAGGAATGGCGCTCAGCTTCAGAATGCACAGAGAGACTTACTGGTGGCCCCTATCTCTGATGATGAAATCTATGATGCTCTTAAAGGAATCAAGGATATTGTTACCCCTGGTTTAGATGGCTATTCTGCTAAATTCTTCAAAGCTAGTTGGGGTATTGTGAAAGATGATGTTAGAGCTATTGTCAAAGATTTTATTTCTAGGGGTAAACTTTACAAAGCATTCAATTGTACTCTGGTTTCCCTTATTCCCAAATCTGATTCTGCTTCCTCTGTCAAGTACTTTAGGCCCATATCAGTGTGCACTACATTATATAAAATCATTTCTAGAATCATGACTGCAAGACTGAGTAGAGTTATTGGCAGCATTGTTAACCCTAATTAGGCTACTTTCATTCGTGGGCAGCAAATTGATCACCACATCCTTCTGGCCTATGAGCTTATAAAGGACTACAGTAGAAAAGGTAGTCCCCCCAGAGTTATGGTCCAATTATATATGCAAAAATCCTATGACATGGTGAGCTGGAAGGCTTTGGAGTTTATTATGCAGGAGCTTGGTATTCCCCATATCTTTATCCATTTGGTTATGTCTGCTATATTTAATACTTCCTACAGGTTTTCTGTTAATGGAGCTACTACTGATTTATTGATTTCCAAGAGAGGGATCCGTCAAAGGGGACCCAATATCTCCTTTTCTTTTTTCCTTTACTATGGAATATCTCCACATATGCTTGGTTCATATGCAACTTAATCCTAATTTTAATCATCACTCTAAGTGTGATAAACTTCAACTGACTAATCTTATGTTTGCAGACGATGTTCTCTTGTTTGCTAGAGGGCATAGAATTTCTGTTGAGCTTTTCCTCAATGCTTTCTATAAGTTTTCTAATTCCACGGGTATGAAGATCAATACTAGTAAGAGCAAGATCTATTTTTGTTCAGTTGATTCCAGCACCAAAAATTAGATTCTTAACTGGTCTAATTTCAAGGAGGGGTGTCTTCCTTTTAGATACCTTGGGGTTCCGCTTACTTGCAAGAAGTTAGGTTGCAATAACTACTTAATATTAGTGGACAAAATTCTTGCTAGGATTAGCCATTGGTCTGTGAGATTTCTCAGCTATGCAGGGCGGATTCAATTGGTGAAGAGTATATCCTTTCACATTGCTAACTTCTGGCTAGTGTGCTTCCCACTTCCCAAAGTTGTCCTTAAGAAAATTGAGGTGATTTGTCGTTCCTTTATTTGGCCAGGGAAGGAAGGATACTATTAGCAGAAGGAGCCTGGTTGCTTGGGCTAAAGTTTGTAAGCCTGTTAAGCAAGGTGGTTTGGGCATTATTGACTTGTATATCTGGAACAAGTGTGTTATGCTTAAGATGCTTTGGAATATATGCAATAAATATGATAGTTTATGGGTGAAATGGGTCCATTCCTACTACTTGAAGAGTCAAAACATCATGGAGGTTAAGGCTAAATCCTCTAGTACCTGGATTATGTGTAAATTCTTGGATCAGAGGCCTCTCATTCATTCTAACCTTCTTCTTTGGAATGACATGTCCTCCAAAGGAAAATTTAGTTTGCGCCATTGTTATCTATCTCTTGTTGATAATCACCTGGTATTATGGAATGGTTTGATGCTGAATAATCCAGCTAGGCCTAGAGCTTTAGTGATTCTTTGGTTGGCTAGCCACAAGAAGCTTGCAACAAAAAGTAGACTTTGTAGGTTTTGATTCCTTACAGATAGTAGTTGTTGTTTCTGCTCAAAAATTGAAATTGTTTCCCACCTTTTCTTTGAATGTGATAACATTAGGAAGATTTGGTGTGGGGTGCTTGAGTGGCTTCAGATTCATCATCACCTGCCCAAGGCGTGGAAGGAGGAGCTTGCTTGGATCATTAAGTATGAAAAGGGCAAAGGGTGGAAATCTTACTTGTTAAGATTGGCTATTACTGAAACAACTTATGGAGCTTGGTATTATCGTAATAGTGCGTGCTTCGGTTTTGTCTTGGATTTGAATCAAGTGATCAAATCTATCATTGATAATATTGTTTTCAAGGGTTGGCATTGTAAATCTTTAAAATATAGGGTTGTTAGATTAATGCTTGCTTAGTTTCTTCTGTCTTTTTGGTTGGCTGGATCCTTGCGATCGCCTTGTATCTTGTTGTTTTTTTTTATTTAATATAAGTCTTTATTCCAAAAAAAAATTAAATAAAAAATAAAATTATACTTTTACATCACAAAATTTTGTTGTTAATTTTATTTTCATCTAATCTTAAGTCATTATTGATACAAAATTTGGTCTCTACATAACAAATTTCTCAAACAAAACATTAATCTTATAAGTCATCAATGATAATTTTCAATGTAGAGAAAAGAAACCAATAAGAAGAGCTTTTCTTATTAAATAAATCACTTAAACATCATTCATAATCAACAATACTTACAAAAAAAACTTACTAAATACAAGAGATTTCCAGCAAAATAAAAGTGATTTTCGGCTAAATAAATCCTCTGCTAGGATTTGTGTCGACGGTGAAGAGTGGTTCACCATCATCATCCTCGACGAGTCCAAGAAAGAGTGTGGCTGAAGTGGATTTGCAAGAGAGAATCACTAAGAAAATTAAGGAAGGCATTCATGTTAACCATGGGGCTGGAGAGGTAGAAGCATCATACAAAGAAATGGTTACTGGAAGGAGTGTTGAGATGCAGAATGAGGTGGAAGGTAGAGAAGAAGACATGGTGGATCGAATACTAGGGGAACTCGATGGTTTGGTGGTGGAAGAAATCATGATAAGGGGATATGAATGTCCGGACTTCGGGTTATCTGAGAAAGAAGAAAGGAGAATCCATAGGCCATGAAAGAGAGGAGTAATTGTCAAGCTACTAAAAAAGAGAGTTGAATATAAAATGTTGGAGACAAGACTGAGACAGATGTGGTTGAGAAAATGAGTTATCAGTATAATAGATCTGAGTAATGATTATCATCTGGTAGCATTTTCACATAAAGATGATAAAAAGGTAGAAATGGTAGAAGGGTCATGGTTCATATACGATCATTATTTTACTGTTAAATATTGGAGCCCAAATTTCCAACAAGAGAAAGATACCATTAAGGAAGTTGTTATTTGGATTAGAAATGCAGGGTATCCAATAGAATATTATGATACCCGTGTGTTATCATTCATTGGTAATAAAGTTGGCAAATTGGTGTTTAGGCTTTTAACTAATACTGCATAGTGGATTTCCTTCCTGGCTTGGTAGCCCCTATAGCAGGTGACATTGCACTCAATTGGGTTAATAATTGATAGTGTTCTTTAAATTTCTATAATTTATCTTTCTGCACAATCAACTGTGTTACCAGGTTTTATGTCAACAGACGTCATAACATATGTCTTGACATCGTGTTTCTGTGTTAAGACATCAGTCTTGATCTTTGTATTGTAAGTGCCAGAACTTCAATTGGAATCAGAGAAGGCACCATGTTTTGTCTATTGGGTGAACTCCATGGAGACTATTTTCGATTACTATGGATAAAGAAGGAGGATACAACAACAGACCACCTTTGTTAGATGGTTCCAATTATGATTTGTGGAAAGTCAGAATGGTGGATTTTTTGAAGTCCATGGACAACAGGGCTTGGAAAGTTGTTTTGAAAGGATGTGAACATCCTGTTAATACAGACAAAGATGGGAATGCATATGTGAAGTCATAAGAAGATTGGTCTTATGAGAATGATAAATTAGCTATTGAGAATTCCAAGGCTTTGAATGCTCAATTCAATAAAGTGGACAAGAATGCTTTCATATTGATTAATAATTGTACTGTAGCTAAGGATGCTTGGGAAATCCTCAAGATAACTCGTGAAGATAAATCTAAAGTAAAGATGTCAATACTTCAGCTTCTCACTACTAAATTCGAGAATCTAAAGATGAATGATGATGAGACCATCCATGAATATCACATGAATGTTCTTGAAATAGAAAATATTTTCAGTGCCTTAGGAGAAAAGATGTAGGAATAAAAACTTGTTAGAAATATTCTTAGGTTTTTACCTGAGAAATTTGACATAAAGATAACAATTATTGAAGAAGCTCAAGACATCAACAACATGAGAGTTGATGAAGTTATTGGTTCTCTTCAAACTTTTGAATTGTCTATGAGTGACAAGTCTGATGAAAGGAACAAGAGCATGGCTTTTATATCTAATGTTGAAGATAAAAAATGGTCAAGTTTATCTTGATACTGATAAAGGACTGCCCAAAACCATTGTGTTACTTGAAAAGCAATTCAATAGAATATTGAAGAAAATGGACAGAAGTGAAGGATGGGATGTCAAGAACATCTCCTATGACATCACTAACAACCTTGGTTTTCAGAGGGAAACAAGAACTAAATAGAATTCAATTCAAGGCAAAGATATTCAATGTAATGAGTGTAAAGGATTTAGACACATTAGAGTTGAATGTCCAACATACCTCAAGAAACATAAAAAAGGAGTATATGTTTCTTTATCAGAGAAGGATTTAGATTTTGAATCTTCTAAGAATGTTAAAGCCTTCTTAGAAAGATGCAAATCTTCCAAAAATCTGGGTGAGAAGAAGGAACTTCTTATCAAAGTGACTGACCTTCAAAAAGAAGTATTACTGCTGACATCTAAGCTTAAAAAGATGACCGGAATGTTTAACAATGGAATAGCTCATCAGGTAAAATTCTCTAAGCAGGAAAATATGCTATAATATCAGAAAAAGGTTCCAACATCCTGTGAAATATCAGAAACTTTTCATCAAACCCATAAGTCATCTCAGGAGATGTCATCATTGCGAGAAATATGGTCACATAAGGCTTTTTTGCTGCAAGTTGTATGGTTATACAAAATAGTGTACTCATCTTGAGAGTAGTATGGGGAGGAAGTTTAAAAGAAAATAGAGTCCCAAAAATGAGAACATTTATCTCTTTGCTCGTTTTTCTCTCACATCTTTATCAACAAAAGATGAGCTTTTAGACACTGGGTGTTCAGGAAAAATAAAAGAAAGTGAAACAGATGACAAGTTCCATATGTGGACACCTCAGAAAATTCCTAAAATCTACCTGGAAGGGTTTCAAGTTGAGCTGAAAATTCTGAGGGAATGCGATGTCAGACAGATTTCATGACATTGGACTGTAAGTCTTTGGGTAACACTGATATAGAAAAAAGTATTACTCAACTTGACAGGACAAGGCAAAGTGGTAATCTCCATCTTCCCATCAATGATCTGATAAGTAACAAACCTGTTGTTGTTAAGGATGTTATGATGGGGAAAAATCTTGCCAAAAGTTTTACCAAAGTGATGGTGGTAATTCAACTTAATAAGTAAATGGGTGAATTTTTCATTGCTAAGAAATTATGGAAATTAGTAATATGGAGGCATGCAACAGATAGTTTATTTTCTCTACAGATATTGGCTTATGAAAATTTGAAAACATCATTACAAGGTCTTCACATCTCCAAAGTTACACACTATTTAAGTCATGTTACCTATTGCACTATTCAAAATTCATATTCTTAGGGAAAACATCACTTCACTCGTTCCAAAGAAGTTATTTAAGATATCTCGTTCACAGTATTTTAAAAACCTAATATGTCTAACAAAGAAGATGTGTTCGACTAAAATCCATATAACCCTAAGGTTTCTGAAGGTAAGTCTAACTTAATAACAGGTGTTGTTCCTCTCTCGATTATTCGTAGTGGGACTGCAAAGAAAAGCAGAATAAAGACCCTTACAGAAAGAAGACTCCACTCCTCTCATGTAAGTGCTTATACCAATCCTTCCATATCTGTAGAAAAAGCTTATGAGATAATCACATTTGCTGATGTGCATGATGGTTCAACTAGACCTAATGTCATTAAGATAGTCAATGAGTCAGAGAAATTTGAGAGTAAAAAGGCTCCCAAAAAGTTCAGTCAGAAAGACATTGAAGTTGACCTAAGCATACAAAGGTTATTGTCAGACATTCAGAGTGGGAAGGTTACTCCGAATGATGCACCTGATGTTGGGACATCATTTGGTAAGTTATCTGATACTGAGATGAATGAAAATCTAGATGCGTGTGAACTTGAGCTTAAGGGTACTACTATAATAGATGTTGAAAAGAATGTTGATGGGGTTAACATAGTCAACATTGACAATCTGGCTTCTGATGATGAACCCATTAGTAAGAGATTTTCTCCTGACATTACTAAGAAATTAAAAAAATAGGAAATAAATGGTTGATGGTTTGATCAACAGAACTCCCTCAAAGAAAGATGTGAGTGCGGGTCTAGTGAAAGGATGGAGAAAGGTTTCGGATCCTGTGTCTAAAAAGAAGAACCTGAAGAGGAAGTGTGATACGATGGGAGAACTGACTTGTGGTTTTGCGTTTGTTTTCGCACTTGTTCGGTTTAGCAAGAGTCGCCACCGACTTTTTATTTTATCCTAAGGAAAGGTCAAAAAGCACAGGAAAGACCTTTGATATGTTTTTGTGGGTTCGGGGGGTAGATTATGAAAAGGGAAGGTGCTAGCACCCTTTTCATCCATGGTTATCCATGGGCTCTTAGTTACTTGTTTTAGATCACTTGCCTTTGCTTTTCAATTGTTTGAAATGGTGCTTTGTGTGTGTGGTTTTGAAAATGTTTTGAAAAAGATGCCTTGTCTAGGAAACCTTTATAATGATTCTTGTTTGAATATATACAAAGGTGTGTGTCTTTTTGAAAAGATAATTCAATGTTTTGAAAGTTGTTTTAGAAGTTGTGTTTGTGAAGTGTGTTTGAAAGTTGGCAAGGATGTTTTGCAAGATTTTTGATCAAGTAACTAAGAGTTGTCTACCCTATTTTACTCAAAGATTTTCTTGTGTTTTAACCCTTTTAACAGTGTTGTTTCACCATTGTGTTTGATGAACAACCTTGCGTTAGGATGTTAAACGGGACAGGCGCGGGTCATCGTATACAATCATTGAAGGCAACTTATGAGACGCTCTAGCAATTTTGTAAGGGACGAGATCGTTTTATCGAAGGCAACATCGAGGGTCATCGAGGGACTACGATCTTTGTTTATCGAAGGGACATTTGCTAGAGTGTCTCATACTCGAGGGACATGATTGCATTTTCCGAGGCAACAAGTGAGATTACCTTAAGGGTGCATGTGTGCAAAGTGTGTTTCGTTGCATGCATTTGTCTTTGATTTTTTTTGTGGTCTATTTGTTGGTTTTATCTTATCATACACACCTAATTACTAGCATTTGTACAAAGTAAATAAAGCGCAGAAAGATGAAATCCTACGCTATTACAACCATATTGAAAGGAAAGAAAAATGTAAAGGCAAAAATAAGATAAAAAGTAATAAAAAGAGCTTTTTCGACCCAGACAGCAGCATCCTTCGATTGGGATTTTGCTGGCCTCCTTCGATTTAGGGAGGAGCAGCCTTCGATTTGTATTATGTTGGCCTCCTTCGATTGGGGTCAACAACAGTGAAGTCATGTCTTTCGATTGGGCTTTGGAACCAGTCAGGTTATGTACTTCGATTGGAAGCTGGAATCAGCATGGGAGTACCTTTCGACTGAGCCTGGACTTAGTGCAAGTGTGCCTCTGGCTGGGCCTTTCTGCCTTGTTGCCTTCTTCGATTGGGCCTGGAGTCAGTGAGGAAGCCTGAGGCTTCGTTTCATATTCCTGTTTCCTGTTTACTTCGTTTGAGACATTAAATACCAACATGGCCTAAGGCCATGCTAGTAAACAGTTTAATAACTAAAGCTAATTCAGGCGAACAGCAAGCAAATCGAAACATGTTAACAGGGTAGAAACGAAAGGAACAGCAGTATGTACATGCTTGGAATGAAAGGGAGTTTAT